TATGATTAACCACGTGACAATGATTTTGAGAAAGGAAAATGTTATTATTGAAATGAAACTGTTCCACAAAAATGCGCATATGAATATAATCATAACTGGCACGCAGATAGGTAGAAATGGTAGGATAAATTGTAAGCTTCCCCAAACTTGAAACTCAAGAGCCGCCTTGAGTCTTTACTATAACACCTGTTTAAAAGAATTGTGCAAGAGCCACACATAAGAGTTCCCTTGAAAAATACATGCCTGCCTATAATGTCCATCCAACTGATTAGTTCTGGCGCCGGCCCTGCTACTACTTTACTGTTACCAATGCCTCACTGAAGGGTTTGGTTCAGTTTTAATACAAGGCAGTCTATTCAGGAATTAAACTGAAATTCCAATGCAATAATTGAAAAAAGGCCATCTACTTTCAATTACTGTTCAATAAGCTCAAAAAGAGAAGCTACAGTTGAAGTTGGAAGTTTATATACACCTTAGCCAAATACATTTAAACTTCCTGACATTTCATCCTAGTAAAAATTCCCTGTCTTAGGTCAGTTAGGATCACCACTTTATTTTAAGAATGTGAAATGTCAGAATAATTGTAGAGAGAATGATTTAATTCAGCTTTTATTTCTTTCATCAATTCCCAGTGGGTCAGAAGTGTATATACACTCAATTAGTATTTGGTAGCATTGCCTTTAAATTGTTTAAATTGGGTCAAATGTTTCGGGTAGCCTTCCACAAGCTTCCCACAATAAGTTGGGTGAATTTTGGCCCATTCCTCCTGACAGAGCTGGTGTAACTGAGTCAGGTTTGTAGGCCTCCTTGCTCGCACACACTTTTTCAGTTCTGCCCACACATTTTCTATAGGATTGAGGTCAGGGCTTTGTGATGGCCACTCCAATACCTTAACTTTGTTGTCCTTAAGCCATTTTGCCACAACTTTGGAAGTATGCTTGGGGTCATTGTCCATTTGGAAGACCCATTTGCGACCAAGCTTTAACTTCCTGACTGATGTCTTGAGATGTTGCTTCAATATATCCACATAATTTTCCTTCCTCATGATGCGATCTATTTTGTGAAGTGCACCAGTCCCTCCTGCAGCAAAGCACCCCCACAGCATGAGGCTGCCACCCCCGTGCTTCACGGCTTGCAAGCCCCCCTTTTTCCTCCAAACATAACGATGGTCATTATGGCCAAACAGTTCTATTTTTGTTTAATCAGACCAGAGGACATTTCTCCAAAAAGTAAGATCTTTGTCCCCATGTGCAGTTGCAAACCGTAGTCTGGCTTTTTTATGGCGGTTTTGGAGCAGTGGCTTCTTCCTTGATGAGCGGCCTTTCAGGTTATGTCGATATAGGACTCGTTTTACTGTGGAAATAGATACTTTTGTACCTGTTTCCTCCAACCTCTTCACACGGTCCTTTGCTGTTGTTCTGGGATTTATTTGCACTTTTCGCACCAAAGTACGTTCATCTCTAGGAGACAGAACGTGTCTCCTTCCTGAGCGGTATGACGGCTGCGTGGTCCCTTGGTGTTTATTCTTGCGTACTATTGTTTGTACAGGTGAACGTGGTACCTTCAGGTGTTTGGAAATTGCTCCCAAGGGTGAACCAGACTTGTGGAGGTCTACAATTTTTCTTCTGAGGTCTTGGCTGATTTATTTTGATTTTCCCATGATGTCAAGCAAAGAGGCACTGAGTTTGAAGGTAGGCCTTGAAATACATCCACAGATACACCTCCAATTGACTCAAATGATGTCAATTAGCCTATCAGAAGCTTCTAAAGCCATGACATAATTTTCTGGAATTTTCCAAGCTGTTTAAAGGCACAGTCAATTTAGTGTATGTAAACTTCTGACCCACTGGAATTGTGATACAGTGAATTATAAGTGAAATAATCTGTCTGTAAACAATTGTTGGAAAAATTACTTGTGTCATGCACAAAGTAGATGTCCTAACCAACTTGCCAAAACTATAGTTTGTTAACAAGACATTTGTGGAGTTGTTGAAAAACGAGTTTTAATGACTCCAACCTAAGTGTATGTAAACTTCAACTGTATTTGTATATTCAAAATTTTTCCAATATCGGATTTAAAATTCAAATCACTTCCTGAATTGACTAACTTCGAATTGACCCCAACCCTAAATTACAGCAATATCTCTAGAGGTAAATTATGACTACATTTTATCTATGATATCTGACCTCCACAATAATCCAGTCATTATGATGGATGAGTAGGCTATTGACTTCAAACAGCTGCAGAAGGACAGGTGTAGCCTATATCCAGGCTACAACTTTGGCCTGCATTCTACAGCCAAGACTAAGATATTCTAATTGGAATGCTAGTAACAATGTTACAACAAATGTTGCAGATATGTATTAGTATTCAATCAAACAAGAAGACCCACATGTCCTGTAATATCTAATTGACAGTCTAGACTTAATATATAGATGGAACACTAGGCTATATTCCAAACGAACATTTATTCTGTAGCCACCTTACGACATTGTATGAATGCTGATGAAAACCCGTCATTCATAAAATGTAATTTTGTAGGCTACAGTAAAAATAACAAAACTTCAATACTTACAGAAAATACGTATTCTGTGAATCAGTTAATGCAACGATGAAGTCTCTACTGCCAACAACATGTTGCATTGGGTTAACAACACTAATAGCCTAATTCACAAATAATTTTTGATTGCATGAAATGGTAGGCCTATTAGGCTACTTCGATATTATTATATTTAAATCAAAGAATAAATCCAAAGGTCCCGAAAACGGGAAACCTGTATATGAATGAAGAGCATCATTTCACGTCCCTATGATGTTGCTGGTTGGCAACCGTTATTGCTTGATACCTATTACTCCTTGTCCCTCTTCAGAATGCACCGCAGTCGTCCAGACCCGACACGTACCGATACATTGTAAACGAGTTCCCTTGTATTCTATTTGATATGCACCGCAAAATGATGTCTTTGTATCCACCTATTCTCCAAAAGAATCATATATAACCGGGTAACGGCGGACGGATAAGCAATACGTTCTGGTACAGTCTAACTTGAAAGCAGTACTGGCAAATGTCATTTTTGTCATCCGTGATTGGCTGTAAGTCTTGTCGATCATAAAGTCCTGCTCAGAGCATCAAGGGCGTCTGGTAAATGTATTTCTTTCCGTGTCCATCACATGGGAAATAGCCTACGCACAATACTCAAAAACTGTACTACAGACACTGAGTGTACAAAACATTAAGAACACCTTCCTAATATTGAGTTGCACCCCTTGAAAATCCTTCTTTACCCTGTCTCCTCCCCTTCATCTACACTAATTGAAGCGGATTTAACAAGTGACATCAGTAAGGGATCATAGCTTTTCAGTCTATGTCATGGAAAGAGCAGGTGTTCATACGCTCAGTGTATAGAACTATCCTACAATGCGTTTATATCTATTCTAATATTCTATCAATTACTTTTAACTTTAATATGAATGATGTGTTGGCTATATGAAAATGTAAGTACTGTAGTTTATACACAGTTAATTATTAGTACAAATGTAGGCTGTATAAATCATGAATAAATAGTTATAACTCGGTTGAAATTGTGTGATTGTAGTTTGGTGCTTCCCGAGTAATGGGTCAATATAGCCTATATGAATAATTATATGCCAGTTAAACCTAGATTATAGCACATTTTGCACATTACAAACCAATATTACCCAGAATAATTAATCATTTCTCATTCTGGCCCTGATTATGATCACAACTGAATTGATATTCAGATAACGTGTTGAGTATGCCAGCTTTGTAACCTAGACTTTCTTGGCACAGCTCTGTTCTCATACAATGGTGTCACTTTCTCCATCAAATAGCATAAAATACTGCCATCTGCTGATGATTTACCGGTAGTTGCGAACCAGGGATGGCCAGAGGTGTAGCCTACAATAGGCCTAAAACATGCATAATATTGTTCAAGTGTCTATTATCCCAATAATGGAACATCCAGTCATCTTTCAGCTTCAGAAACACATTACATTTAAAAGTATTTTAAAAGTCAGGCATTCATATCAATACAGCAAATGTACAGTAGGCTAGGTCTTAGAGCTATAGTTCTGTCCAAACATTGGGCATAATAATCATTTAAAAGATATGCATAGTTCAGACCAGAATTGATGCGTTTGGATATCATTGGAAAACGAAAATGTATGCATGTAATCCTTAAATTATACATTTATAAATAATAATAAGTAATTAATTAATGTTAGATACCCTACATGACATCCACTAGATGTCAATAAAAGTATTGATCATAAAGTGCACTTGATTTAGCTCGCCAGAAGTGTAGGGACGACAGAGTTTGGCTTTCACGTCCATTAGGACCAATGGAATGATTCCAAAATAAAAGCAACAACCCCGACTACCCTGCGCGTCGTGCAAGCTAGATCAAGCACCTTGTGCGCACCTATGAAATCAGGGCTTAAGAACGCGGGTTCGACAGTGGTAAAGACTGTAATGGTAGGCTACAATAAATATTTGCTCAACTACGTTATTCAAAATCATAGCATTTTTGGAAATGTAATCCAAAGTTGCACGTTTTCACCAAATTGCATGACTTTTTCCCATGAATGGAATGGATGGAATGACAAGGCGCATGGTTTTCAGCCATCCAATTACGCATTACGCATGGTTCATGGATCATGCTCATGGCGGCGCTATTGCTGTATGCTCTTGGAAAACAGCAGTCTCCTGTGCATCCTGAAATGGTTTCACCCAACCAGGTATAATAACCACGGGTTGCTGTAAGTAACATCATAAATGCACTGAGGCTGGGAAGAGGGAACAAGTAATGCGATGCCAAAGCAGGTTGATACACAACAGAACAACTATAGGCCTACCTGATTTAAAGGTGTTTACTCACTCATCATCTTTTTCTGCAGTTGTGGGGAATTTCTCTGGAATTTTTGTCAAGTGCTCTTTTGCCTCTTATTTGTGGTGCCAACTGAAAATTGAAAAGTGGAGATGAATTCTACCGCTTTCAATCAAACGGACAGTACAGGACTTTTCAATAAGACTGAGGAGATTTTTTGCTGTAACTTTTCATCAGTGGTGACTGATAATGGCTTCGTGGCGGCGACTCCGGATGAGAGAAGTCTCTTTCTCATGAGAGTTGTCCAGATAGCAGTTATGTGCGTGTTATCGCTCACGGTGGTTTTCGGTATATTCTTTTTGGGCTGCAACCTTCTCATCAAGTCAGAGGGAATGATCAACTTTTTGGTGACGGACAGAAGACCATCCAAAGAGGTAGAAGCAGTCATTGTTGGTGCATATTAGTAGCCTAAAGAGCGCTTTGGGAGACTTTGTCAAAATGACTTGTCCTACCACTGATGCCCAGATGATGAATCCACTTTTCACCAACAGCAGAGACAGAGACAGAGATACATGAATGGTCAAGTATCTACATAAGAACTAGTTTCTATTGTTCTGTTCTCGACAGTTGGCAAAAATGTAGGACACAACAGGCCTGTACTTAGACCCTTTAGACACACATCTCCAGGAATTAGCCGAAATTAGCTCTCAGTTTTTGACAAACACTTGTGTAATTTAATATCTAGACGCTCTCTAATTGTTATAGCCTTTTTGTCAAAGTGACAATCGTTTTAAACTTCAAATACTGTCTCATATTGCTAAAGCAATGGGGAAAAATGCATATCGTATGTGTTTTTGCACACATGCAAGACAGTATAATGATTTAATCAATGTGCCTTACGCGTTTCCTATTGAACATTTGTAAATAATGAGTGGTTAAATGCATGAAAGGTGGAGATGTAATACTAAATCAACAACACTATCTTTGTTTATTGGAATAAATGAATCCCCTAATTATGTTCACGTTTTCCTTTTGATTGATTCAGCATTTTCATCAATCTGTTCTCAGTGTTAATTTGAGACAATCAGGGCTACAGTAGGCCTAGTTGGTAGAGCATGGCGCTTGTAACGCCAGGGTAGTGGGTCCGGTTCCCGGGACCATCCATTCGTAAAATGAATGCATGGCTGTAAGTCGCTTTGGATAAAAGCATCTGCTAAATGGCATATATTATTATATTCTATTGAGATCATTCTTATTACAAAGCCTTTCAAATTATAACATTTCTTCAGCACCAATACATATATATTATTATTTTTATTATTTTAATATTGCAAAATATATATTTGTTGTATATTCTAGTCAAAGTGTGCAAATGTCATTCATTTGACAGGGCACATTGAAAGAGAATGGAGATGTGTCTTGTAGCCCAATGGTGAAACACTGAAACCAATGTGATGATAAGGGTTGTTTTTTCCACAATTGATGTGTGACGGCCTGGTCCCATTGATCATTCTGAGGTTTAATGGAAACCTGCCTGACTGTGTTTGTTCCATATCAGATGCTCAGGAAATACATACACTCTAAATGCTGGGTTAAAAACAACCCAACTATTCATAGGGTGTAGGATATGCAGTATGACCAAAATTAGAATTTAGACCACCATTTGTCTGGGGACCTTAAACATGATCAGCTGACAAATGTATGGTGTTAATCCGCTAGGATTTATCTTGCTTTGATCAATTCATTCTCTCTGAAGTGAAGGACGGATGTTTTTTTATTACAGTCTTACTGTCTTAGACTTAGGCTATATGCACATTATTTACATTCATTATATAAACATACATTTTTTGTGTGGTTTAGATGGTTTAAAATACATGTCATTTTATGCACACTATTATTTATTGCACTGCAGTGACTGACATTTTCTGTCTGCATTATGAAGTTGTTCCTGTATAGACCATTGTGCGGCTTCTCTCCCCTCAGTGAAAGCATCTGTTGTTCTGCTCCTGGCTCACCTCATCTGGGCATCAGCACCACCCCCAGCTCCCCAGGGGGAACCAAACAGCACCTCCACAAAATGATTTGTCTTGTCAACCCAGACCAAGGAGGACGAAGCCACAGCACAATCTGCTGCGTTCTGATAGGCCACCTGTGTCCCAGTGCTCCATGGACGGAGTTAAAACTAAAAAGCAACTACAGTCGTTTTACTTCCTCCAAAATCATGCTTCCTGCCTGCCTGGTGGTTGAGGACAAATCAATCTGGCGACCCATCAGAGTTAACTGAATTTCATTTGACATGGCCCATTATGATGTTTTATGATTGATGGACGGCAGCTTAGCCTACGGGGTGCGTCTCCGAACAAAGTCCCCAGCCACTCTCTATCTCACGTATTAATTACAAATAGGACATTTTGTTTGTTAAATGGTCTTTCAAACTAATACTATGTCATTAAGCATTTTATGGGCAGTCATTATAGAGAAATTCATGATGTTGCCATTTTCCCTAGATAAAATCCTATAAGCACAAAAATGTTAATAGTATCTCATGCGTAAGTGTCAATTTGGTTGAATGTGAGTATACATTCAACACCATACTCTTGAGTAACTCAATGAAGTTGAGTTAACTCAATGAAGTGTTACCCATTAGTTGAAATGGTCAGCCAGTAGTCATATAGATATGGATGATTAGATTACCCTGAATAAATTAGTGGTAGCCTATGAGTTGTGAAAACTGACCTAACCTAAGCTATGTTTAGCATTATCCAGTTATTAAAGTGAATTTAAGATTGTATAATTTTTGTTACTTTCATCGAAACATCTTCTCTCTTCCTGTATTTAATTGTATTGTATTATAATCATTCATTGCATTATTAAACATTTATTTCATTTATTTGAATGATTGCAATACTTGGTAATTTCCTTTATAAATGGGGTCGTATGCATCTGTAACCTGTAGGGCTGAGATTAAGTAAGGTATTGGCTCAACAGACAGGGTTGATTAAAGAACAGGCAGCTGGAGCACGCCACACCTATTTATAACTGCCTTTGAAAGTGTGTGTGTGTGTGTGTGTGTGTGTGTGCGTGTGTGTGTGTATGTGTGTGTGTGTGTGTGTGTGTAAAGCTCACATTGAATAGCTAATTGGTGAGGAGCCACATTCAAATTATAAATCAAGAGTCATGAGAAGAAAAAAACTTAATGGAAAAATGGCAATTACCGGGTGCCGGTTTTGATTGAATAGTGCCCCTGCTATACTTGATATTCCACTAAGGAAAATAAAAGCACACCTACATGTTTACTTACTTGCTTAAGGTAGTCCATCGCTTTTGATAATGAGTTCCACTTCTGCCTATTGATGAGTCTTAGTGTGGATTTATAGTCCAAATCCTTGAATGAACCGCATCTCACACACACACAGGCATGCACGCACACACTCACACCCACCCACACGGTCTTGTATAACTAATCTTGTGGGGACACACAATTCAGTCTCATTCAAAATCCTATTTTCCCTAACCCTTAACCCTAACCCTAAACCTAATTCTAACCTTAACCCTAAACCCCCTAGAAAATAGCATTTGACCTTGTGGGGACTAACAGAACGTCCCCAGTTGATCACATTTTTGTTTGTTTACTATTCTAGTTAAACATGTCCACACACGCGCGCATGCACGCACACACACACACACAGACACACACACACACACAGACACACACACACAGAGACACCATTTTACAGGAGCCTCATTTCTCCAACAGAAAACATAATCATGCAGCGACTTTGTTGAGATGTCTAATTTAAGATCACAATAGTAGGCTGTATGATTTTCTGGATATAATATTGAACCTCCTCTTCAGCGCAGTGTGATTGTTTCATTAACGAGTTGCTGTGAATCGCTCGCAGGAGAATGTTGTGCAGGAGTTTAATATCCAGCAGAGAACAATTTGCTGTCTGCTGTAGCATCACTGTAATGATGTCACTGAGCTAGTGGGGGGATCTCACACTGTGATGCAGACGGTCTGTAGTACTATACTTTTGCAGACACGTTTGATGATTTCATTCACAAGGACTAATTCAGGCTAGAAATGCAACTAATAATTGTAATGTATTGGTGATAATTCATAATATAGGGTGATGATGATCAATATGAACAGGAGGAAAGTAGCAACAGACAATCGTACTGTGTATTGGTTGTCTTCTAGATCAAGATTTGATGAAATGACATATTGAATTGTTACTATCAGTACAGCAATACTCTGGAGCATGGCGTGAGAGCAGCCCATCTCATCCTGAATCTCTGGCAGTTTTCTGTTTCAAGATAGTCATTTATGGAGGATCTAATGGTATGGTAGTATACACAGAGCAAAATGTAGAATCCATGCACTTGAGAGTATAATACTGCATTAGGGATTCTTGCTTCATGGTCTGGCTGTCTGTCAAAAAACATTGCCATGAGGAATTGCAGCAATATGAATCAATGACCGAAGCGTTTACACCCAGAAACAGTGAATCCCCAGTCTGGTTTCAGAGAGCTATTTATAGCCCATGGTGTTGGGCATCAAATCACCAAAGTGCACCTCCCAGGCCCTAATGTGCATCTGCTGCTCTATGTGTCTGTGTCCCAAATGGCACCATATTCCCTACATAGTGGGCCCTGGTCAAAAGTAGGGCACTGTATAGGGCAGGGGTATTCAACTCTTACCCTACGAGGTCCAGAGCCTGCTGGTTTTCTGTTCTACCCGATAATGAATTGCACCCACCTGGTGTGCCAGGTCTAAATCAGTCCCCGATGAGAGGGGAACAATGAAAAAAGCAGTGGAACTAGCTTTGAGGTTCAGAGTTCAATTTGAGGGGTATAGGGAATAGGGAGCCATTTGGGACGCAGCCAATGACTAGTGTTGAGGGACAGGGCATCTCCAGGGTGTTGATTATGGCTAAAAAAAGGCCTCAGGTCTGAGCCTGCAATAGTCCTGGTGATTGGTGCAGAGCTCTGCTGATTGGTGGAGGTAGTCAATGATCTCGATCGTCACTGACAGCTCCAAATTGCGACATGACAGACACAATCATCTCCCCTGTTCACTCCTACACCTCATTGGCACTGGGTCCCCTTCTCACACTACTCCAAAAGGCCATATCATGCTGGCTGAGTCTGAGTCGAAGAGAGAAACACACAGAGACTCCTGTCACAGAGAGACAGAGGTAGTGAGTATAAAATAAGCACTGGGTCTCCTTGTCTCCTTGCGTAATGATTCACCAACAACATCAGTAATTGTGGGATTCAAGCGACGATGACAAATCTCTTTGGACTGGTTTTGGAGGACAATTCAATTATATCTCATCTCAGATGGGTGCCAGCACTGGGAAGATTGTTTCCCACTGAAATATCAAAGGGATTTAGTGTGTGTAACTTCTTGGTTTTAAGTGTCACAAAATTAGAAAAATGAAATTGACTACAGTAGAATATTGAAAAGAATGCATTTCACCCTTGGAAGCATTCAAAAGAAAAATACTGTAGCCTACTGAACTTTATAGATACAAAGTGATTGCACTTCATGTAGTTGTCATTTTTGCTGAGCTATACAGATACCCCTTTCAAGTCAGTTTCACAGACACAGATCAAGCCTAGTCCTCCTAGACTCAAAATAATTTCAGATGGAGTTACTTTTTAGTCTAGGACTTAATCTGTGTCCGGGAAACCGCCCTCAACATAGCCACAGGAAGTAAGGGTGCTGTAGCACCCCCTGTAAAAATCAGTTGCCCCCCCCCCCCCCCCCCCCATTGACAAAACATTCTCAGCACCAGTTGCCCCCCCCCCCCACCAATTTACAGTGAACACTATGCAGTATACCACCCATTCCTCACTATATCACACACAACAATCAGTGCGTGTTGCTTTAAAAGTCTGTTCTATTATGTCAATGTGATATTGATCTTGAAATCCAATTCTAGAGTAAGAGTGTTTGTGGATGTATCGATCTCATGATGATCATCCGACTCTGTGCCAGTTAGTTTTCACTTTTATCATAAACTCATCACAGAGAATGAACTATTACTATATTATACTACTCTTGCTTTGAGATAAACACTTCTATATATTCATTCCTTTTCTGGACATAACTTTGAGCACAGCTGGCTGTTTGAGAGGGCCTATAGCCTCTTTACTTTCTGATCTTCAGATAAACTTTTTTTTAAACCTTTTGAATGCTACGGCGAGACCACCCAGTTGATTGAACGCATAGTGGTGTTTATTCTGTCTAAACACTAATATGTTTATAGTTTATAGTTTTTAGGGAACACCGGAGTACTGTTTACGCATAGTCTACTTCTACAGATTTTCCATGACGTTCATGATACCTCTAAAAAATCCTCCAGTCCTCCCCATTTTAAAGTGACAGACCTTAACCTACACAAAACATCCTCTCTCGTGATTACAGCAACTCGCATTCACATGTATACTGTGGTGGCCATTACATTTTTTTATAAATAAAATCATTTTACAGATCTAGAGTTACACAACAGAACAATGATTGAACAGAAAAGCTTCAGTTTGCAATCCCTTTCGGGTTTTACCAACAGTAGTGGCATCAATAATAAATGGTGTGACTGAGGGAATCCTCATCAAACAACAAGGTGTTTAATAGAAATATGCATTATTTATCCATGGCTTTTCTCAGTGCACATGACCATCGTCTTTCTGCTGTTTATCCCTTCGCTCATTTATATTTGATCACTTGTGTTGTCCAACACCTAAGTAGCGTAGTGGGTCTAAAATTATTGGCACCCTTGATAAAGATAAGTAAAAAATAATGTATTAAATAAACAATACAAATACTGAGCTATATTGTATGCAAAAAAAATGGGGACAATTATATTATTATATGCTAATTGATTGCTCAGAGAAGGGGGGGGGGGGTGCTGGAAAAACAACAGTGCACTACTTTTGAGAAAAAAGTTAAACTAAATGTGTTTGTATTTGAGTGTTTACCAGCATTTGTAACTTGAGTCTGATAATTATCTGCACAAAAACAGTTAATCTGATAATACTTGTGGAATATAAAAAATACTTACTTGATATACGTTTT